GAACAGGGGTTGGGCCAGGTGTCCTCCAGGGCTCCCTGTTGATCCCAGCCATTCAGTGGTTATGTGAACATTAAATAGTTTTAAGTCATGTTAAGTTCTCATTGACCTGTGTGGATTTACAACGACCTGGCTTCCTTGTGCCCCTGTCCAGCTCCTCACTTTGCTGTGTGAATAATCCTGAGTCCTGGAACTTCAGCTGCCCAGCTCCCAGCCTGCCATGCCTGGAAATGCTGAGGATGAGTAAGGCAGAGGGGCAGGTGAGCTCAGCAGGGGAGGATGGACTGCAGGTGCTAAATGGATACATGAGCCTTTTCCCCCTGTTGTTTCCATGCCTAACAAAGTTTGTCCCTGCCTGGTTAACTCCATAACAGGGAGTTTGGGGAGTCAGCTCTGGGGCTGTGGAGCCTTCTTTGTAATGCTTCTTCCCAGCTTCTGTAAAGGGTTGGTGAGTCCATGCTGGAGAAGGAAAAAGCTGGAAAAGTGTTTTCATTGTCCCTGTGTGTCTGCAGTAGCTGTGCTGTCATATCTGGATGAGGTGCAGATGTCCCAGGTGCTGTGTGAGCACAGTGCAGGTGTTGACGATGTGCCCAGGCTTGCTGGGCTTACTCTGCCAATTAACACTGCTGAGCCTCTCCAGAAGGAGAAATCAACAGCTTCTAATTAGCCCTTATGTAATCAGGACTGCTCATCTTCAGAGCATTTTGCTAATACTGACTCATCTTCACAACTTCATCTAATAAGGTCAAAATTGCTCCCCCTTTAATAAATGGGGAGGGGGACTGGAAATGTTTGCACAGATCCTTTCAACTATTCTGAGTATTCAGAAATGTGGCTAAACGGGTCTGGATGATGGGTGTCCTTAGCATCCAGCTTTTCCTTGGATATCCTGTTTCCCTACTGGAACTTTTACTTCTTTGAAATACAATGAAAACTGAAAGGATTTCACCCCCCAGGCTTTCTGACGCTTTCCAAAATTAAGTCCAAGTCCCATCTCAGTCAGATGCTGAGGTGTGTGATGATCCCTGGACAGAATATTACTGAAAACAAGACTGTAATTGGTTAAATGTAACCAGCAGATCCCCTCTCCAAGGTGAGGAGCTGTTTTTCCTAGCAGGAACCTGGCCAAATCCATCATTCTGTGGCAGGGTTTGCTGAGTCTGAGGAGGTTTTTTGGAGTCTTTACCCCCCGTGGGCAACACGAGGTGTTGCTGACATGGGATGGGTGGTGGATCAGGGTGTGGGATGGCCACCCTTGGTAGAGATATTCCAGAGATTTTTGTGTCATAATGCATCCATGCTGAAGGCAACACACTGAACTCAAAACCATTGCCTGGCAGCTGATTCCCATTTCCAGCAACAGGTGATGTATTCTGCCAAAGAGGGTGTGGGCTGAATGTTTTGCCGAGATGTTCTGCAGTCAGTGTACCCAGTCTTCCTGGCAGCTCTGGGAGGCAGCATGTGGTGCATGCAGGTACAGAGAGTGGGTTAATCACCAGCAGAAATTGGTGCTTTTGGCAGCTGGTCTGAGGTGGGCCAGGTCTTCGACAAGCAACGTGTATTTCACCCAGAAACTCTCCTTTGAGTCATGAGATGGTTTCTCACTCAGGTCTGTTGCTGCTCTGAGGAGGCCCACAGGATGTGCTCATCATTTCCAGCAGCAAGACAAAACTTTTTCCATGGTAAGGAGCAAGACCTGTGGTTGTTTCGTATTTAATGAGCTCAAAGTATCTCATCCTGAGGTATGTGAAAAATCCATGAGCTTTTCAAAGCAAGGTGGTGTTTTGAAAGCCTTGAGCTAGGGATTTTCCATGCCAGGTCTTACACTGCTTTGCAAATATTGCAGGCTCCTCCAGAAGCTGAAGTGTGGCCCTCTCAGAGGATGTGGAACAACTCCTTGGCTGCTGCTCCATTAATGGTTACTTGTGTGGGGCTGTACCAGCTGTAGGAGGTACCTCTGAGCACAGTGCTAATCCTGCTAAGCCTCTGACATGGAATATTCCTGTTCACATAAATGAGGTCACTCCCAAAGATTCACCTCCAGGAGTCACACCCTGCTCAGCTCCCCTGGCTCTGGCCTGGACAATTTGGAGAGCAAATTGTCTCTCACCACTTCACTCCCCAGCCTTGTGGCAGCAAAGGCCAGCAGGGATAGCACAGCCTGGAGCTGCCTTTGTGGGCATCAAACCCAGTTCCTCCCTCTAAACCAAACCCACAAAAGAATCTCAGAGTTTTGGGTTTTGACTGTTAAAGCCAAATACTCAAATTAACAAGTCAATTTTCAATGTTTCATCCTTTAAGTAGCCACAGAGGAAGGAAGCTGCCCACAACCCTTTTGCAGTGGGACTCATGATCAGATGCACCTGGGCACGAGCAGGAGGCAAGGTCAGCCCCAGCATCACTTGCCTGAAATGCTGTTAGTGGCCACAGGCTCCTTAGGCTGCTCTTTTCTCTCTTCCATTGGCAGCCTTTCCATCTTTGGCAAGGAATTAAGGGGGTTTGTCCAGGAATTATCATTTGTCATTCTTCCATATTCTTTTTCCCCCGTCATTTTCCTTTTTTTCTAGAGATGGGTCCTTTCTTATTTCATATCTTTAATGTGGTTTCTCAAAGAAATGAGGATAAAATTGCCACAACCTCTTTCCATCTCTTCTGAAATAGCTTTTGAACCTGTTGGACAATTTCTAAGAAATCTGACAGCTGGTCACAAGTTTCAGATTCATCAAGCTCTTGCACACTGAATGAAATGTCACACCTTAAGGGAAACAGGAAAATCCCCTCATGAGACAGAGCCAGAGGAAACCAGGCTTTCCTGGGTGCTTTGGGGCAGTTTGCCATGGATTCCACGGGTCTTCCTCTCCAGGCACCCAACTTTGGCCGGTGCAAAGAGCACATGAGCTATGACCCCAGTGGGTGGACAGTTGGGTCCCAATGCCAGTGACAGTGCCATCCCACTGTCCTCATGCTCCCAGCCATGACTCAGAAGAGGGACACTTCTCCTTCCCTCCCAGGACACTGACTGCCAGGCCACAGGGAATGGCTGGTTCTTGGGAACAACCACTAATGTCCCCCGTCTTGGCTGCAGCTCTTCCAAGTGGGACTTTCTGCATGCTGTTACTTTCCCCTGCACCATCTGGTGATTAATTTAACACCTTAAAATTAGCACCAGCATTTCAAAGAGGTTTTGGGCAAGGTTGTTTTTTAAATTAGATAAGGTTTTTTCATTGTTTCCTGCCTCACAGCACAACACATACGTGTGAACCGTGTTCTTGTGATGCCAGGGCAGGTTTGCCTGCATCAGCTGGAGGATGTGTTTCCTCTCCCAGCACAGAATGACACCTCCCTCCTTCCTCCTCCAGCACATCCCAGCCAGCGACATCCTCCAGCTCAGCCTACGTGTGTCTGCACACGCGCTTATTAACTTTAACATCTTAATTGAAAGGGCGGCACACGTTTGAGCTGCAATGATGACATCCTTTCTCCCGAAGCAGTGTTTAATCTCGAGATGAAGCAGTGAGCCGAGGCAGCAGAGTGGGGCTGCCCAGCCGGGCTGCTGGCACGTGTGAGGATGGGAACGACCTGCCAAGAAAGGAGGGTTTAGGGTTCGGATTTGAAGCGTGTGCCTGATGGTCCAGGGAGAGAGGCGGCAGCAAGGGGAGGTGATGGGGGCCCAGTGAGTAAAGAGGAGGATTCAATGAGCAGGAGCTGTGTGAGAAGTCTCTTCCAGAGCTATTAAAAAGCATAAAAGAAAATCTCCTTTTAACGTGGCCCCTTGGTACGTCTCTGCGTGCTGGCCCACGGGCCACCCCCATGCATCTGCCTTAACCTCTTCCTAGCCTGGCTCCTTAGTATAAACTGATGGGGCTTATGGGCTGGTAGTTTCCTTTGATATTTGTCCTGGGAATATGACAGTTAAAATCTCTGAATATTCTTATAACACAGACAATTTTATGGTCCCATATAGCTGCAATGTAAGTTACTTTAATACGGTGTGGTGGTTTGTAAAGACTCCGTGAAATTTGCAGCTGCCGAGACCCGGACAGCCTCCTTTGAACCTGACAGAGACCAATCAGTGCCTGATTTTTAATATCGACACATTGTTACGCCAATGAGAAAGTTTATGTCTCTTTGTGAAACACAGGTCAGGTTCAAAGGAGGCTGCCCGGGTCTCGGCAGGTACAAATTTCTGGAAATCTTTACAAACCACCACATTTGGTAACTTTACGGTCCAAAAGTCCCTCTAATCCTGACTTACAGCTGTGAGTCAGGGCTTCAATGCTGGAAGATCAAAACATTCCTGAGAGAAATGCTCATGAGTAACATCAGTGGGTTTGTGAGCCCAACCTTTGCGCTCTGGAGGGGATCAGGTCCTTGGCTTTTGGAGGTGCCATTTAGAGATGTTCAAAGATTGAATGAGAAACCATTGGTTTGACAGATGGAGTACAATGTTTGTTGGTGAGGAGTCTTCAAGGACACCCTCTTGGCTGCCACACTGCAATAGGTGGGAAGAAGCTGGGAAAAAGCAAACCTGACATAGAGAAATTACATGCCATGCTTAGAGATGCTGCTGTTTCCTTATTTCCTTGTTATCTGTTCTGAGGGGGGAGGGGGGAAGGACGGAGAAAAAAGAAAAATAAGGGGAAATGGAGGGAGGAGGTAGAAACAAGAAATAGAAATAAAGACCAAAAAAAGGTCAAAAACGTTAAAAAAAAAGAAGTCCTCCAAAAAGGAGCAGTAAATGTGCACTGCTAATCGCCCAAAGCCCTGCCAAGCAAATCTTTTGTCAAATCATCTGCCCAAAATCAAAAGCCCGGACTCAGCAGGCCCCGTTACCGGCGGTTCTGCCTACGAAGCAGGAAAGTGCAAAGCCCCCGGTTCCCGCGGCTTTGTTAAAAAGCCCTGGCGACACCAGCCCCGGCCCGGCCCCCCCCCGACAGCCCCTATATAGTGGGGTGTCCAATCATCTGTCCATCGCCGTTCTGCTCTGGCTCCCGCTCTTGGTCTTGGATAACAGCCAGCAGAAAATGTCTCAATACTCAGGAAAAGTAAGTAACGACCCAACTGCTTCCCTTTCAGCCTGGGGCTGGATAGCCCGAGCATCCTCCGGGTGGAAGGAGTTGATGAGGATAATAGAGCCGGCAGACGTGGCGTGAATGGTGATCCCGGGAGCACATTTGGTAGCAGGGATGGGGAGGGTGCGGCAGAAGGAGCTGCGTTTCGGGAGCTGAATTTCCTGTTTAAACATTCCCGCTGGAAATATGTGTGAGCGAGCACGAGGCAGCGAGAAGTGTCATAAATGCGGGACCACTGCTTTCCCAGAAAAACAAATACACTTCTTAGGAAGAAAAGCCAGTGATGCCGTGCTCCTTTTGCTGGAAAGCAGCTAAAATAACTCAAACCACCCTGAAATGATACATCTGAAAGAGATTCCCATCTGCTTGGAATGGGAGTGTGGCCGTGTCCCTGCTCTTCACTGCAGGCCCTTTCTCCTCCCCCCAGATCACTTTCTATGAAGGCAGATGCTTCACAGGCAGGAAGCTGGACGTCTGTGGCAGCTGCAACAGCTTCCAGGACCAAGGTTTCCTCAACCGGGTTAACTCCATCTGTGTCCAGAGTGGAGCTTGGGTCTGCTTTGACCACCCTGATTTCCGAGGGCAGCAGTACATCCTGGAGCACGGCGAGTATCCTGATTTCTACCGCTGGAATGGGCGCAGCGACCACCTGGGCTCGTGCCGGCCCATCGGGATGGTGAGTGGGATGCTGCTGGTGTTGGCTCCCCCAGCTGGAGCACTGTTGGGTTTAGTTTGTCCTGGTCACAGGAGCCCCGCAAATAAGTGCCATAAAAATTTGTGTTCTTTTTGAAATAGGGTGTCCCATTGAGCAGGAAAGAGTTTCCTGGGTGGGTTTGTCCCTGTTCAGAGTGGTCTGTGCAGGCCACAAAGCCGAGAGTTTCCTGTGTCCCCAGACAGGAGGAAGACACATCTTCCTCCCACCATGAAACACAGTGCCTTTAACAGGATGACATAGTCCCATGTTTTCCAGATGAGATGGCAAGGTCCTGCTGGTACCATGTGCTTTTCCTTTAAATGTAAGCTGCTATGAGATATTTGTGGGGGAATTCAGAAGGAGATTCATTGCCCAAGGCAATTTTGAGCTGCAGCAGCTCCATCTCCCCACACACCCAAAGGGGGAAACAGCAGCCTGAGGGCTTTCCAACAAAACCGTAGGGCTGCTCCTAGCAAATTTTAATTGAATTCTCTGCTGTTGCAAACCACCCTCTGACCCTGGTAATCCTAAACTAAATCCATTATTTTCCCTTCCCTTTATCAAGCTTTTAAAGCACTGTCCAGAGGAAGGTTTAAATGGGGAGATTAAAAAGTAACAAAGAGAAACGAATATGGGTGGGGTCTTTCCATTGATTCTCCTATGACTGAAGGCCTTGGGGCAATGATGAGCCCAGCTGGAGCTGGTTGGATTTCTCACTGGCCCTGAAGATACTTTTGGCACAGCAGCAGGTCTGCATCAGGTCTGTAATGTCATTCCCAAAGCACCTCCATGATCCATACGTGGAAGGATGCTCTGGCCAGGCCCTGGACCCTGGCCAGCACAAGGATGTGCTCCTCCTTTCCTGGCCTGAGATTTTCCCTGTGAGATGCCAGCAAGGGCTTTGAGGCATCTGTGCAGCGCAGATTCCCGGAGGAATGTTTGCTCAGGCACGGTATCCGCTTGGCTGCTGCCGGTGGCTGCCTGCTGTGGGGTTTGGCATTGCAGCCCGGCCTTCTTGTGCGCTGACGTTGTTTGTTTGAAAAATGCATTTAGGTATTCTTTGAATTTGGCTTAAAAATATCCTTTGAGCTCGCTCTGTCCCACATAGCTCTGCCACAGCCTGCAGAGATCTCCCCAGAGTAATTTGTGTCGTGTGACTGTCGGGCTCACGCAGCAACAATGATGCTGGGAAAGTTTCCTTTTGTCCCCCGTTTTTATTTTCCTAAAAGAAAGGCACAGTATCTGTCACCAGAAACAGCAGCTATGCATTAAACTGGAGGCAATATGAATTAGTTTAGGGGAATAGTCCAACATCTTTGTACACTCGGGATATGTTTCTTTTTTCATGTTTGAGTGTGCAGAGCATCGAGGTTGCAGCTGATGCTGCGTTTGGGATGGAAGGCTTGTGGGCTGGTGGGGGGGATCTGCAGGTGTCCGACGGGCTGTGTGTGCCTGAGCACTGGCACCCCACGATGTGTTTGCATGTGGACAGCAGCACAGGAAGGTGCAGCTGAGCACAGGGACGAGGGATTTTTGGCTGCTTTCATGACTGGTGTGCTGGGAGGCAGCACGAGTTTGTGCGTGCTCTGTTCATGCTGGCACCAGTGGTCTTGGACTGCTCTTCACATTCCCCTTCCAAAGCACCCTTCTGTCTCCCTCTTTGTCTTATAAAAGCTGGAGAAATAGTCTGTTGCACTTTTTTGGTGTTGCTGTTGACTCCAATCCCTTTGTCCCCAGCACGGCGAGCATTACAGGATCGAAATATTCGAGGGGAGCCATTTTAGGGGTCCCAGCCTGGAGCTGACAGAAGATTGCTCCTTCCTGCAGGGACAAGGCTGGGACAAGACCTGCATCAATGCCCTCAAAGTGTACGGCGATGGCGCGTAAGTAATTCCACATGTCCTGGCATCAGCCACTGCCCTGCTCCCTGCCCTGGGCACTGCAGGGGACAGGGGGCTGCAGACACTCCTCCCTCATGGAAAACCTTGTCAATGCTGGGAGCACTTGGAGAAAGCCTAAAAGTGTTTGTTAAGCCAATTGTTAAAGGTGAATGTTGGTGCCTGCCCACTGAGAGCTGCTTCAAAGGTGTTTGACTTTCGGAGGGTGGCAGCTAAGCACAAGAAGTCTGAGACACGTTTTTAAGGTGTATGAAACGAGAAGCTTAAAACCATCTCCTTCCTGCCTTCCTTCCTGCCTTCCACACCTCTTTCAAATCCATGCTGAAGCTCTCAGGGAGGTCGGATGGATAGCTCCTGGTGATGCAGGTCAGGGCTTTTGCTTTGCAAGTGGCTTCACCACACTTTTTCCTATGATGGCAAAATTGAGTCAGCAGGACCTCCTCTTTACATTAAATCCTGCCTCTGAAAGATGGGGCTAACAGCGGTGGTGACAGCCAGACTGAGGCTCAGCCCCACCCTCCTGCTCCTGCAAATGCTCCTGGGGGCCTGGGCAGAATGTCAATTTCGCCTTTTCCTTGATGTTTGGTGGCAGTTTGTATTTTCTCAATGGTGTTGGTCCTTTTTGTGTTTTTGTTTTTTTTTTCCTCTTACTGTCAGACAGGTTGTTATCTGTCTGTCTCCCCTTTTCTCTGTCTGACAATTTTGTTTTCGCTTCAAGCATGCTGGGAGCTTGGGAATGCCAAAAGACTTTCCCAGAGCCAGGCAAAGGGTGGCTGGGGGGAGGCCCTGGGGCAGAGGGAAGCCCCTTCAGAGGAGGGAGCACAGACACGTTGTTCTCCACCTGTCCTGGACTGGATTTTGTGCACCTCACAGACATCTGGTGTGAGATGCTGGGGCCTTTGTGTCCATTTTTTTCCTAAGAATAGGGAAAGGTTGTTGCCATCCAAGCTCAAAACGTCCTGACAGCAGCTAGCGTCCTGCAGGATCCTTTTAGATCCAAAAATCCTCTTCCAAAAATCCAGGCTTTTGATTAGGCAATGGCAGTTCATTAAGGAGCAGAGCTACCCACTCCTGATGAGAAGAAATGGCTGGAGCCCACCAGGGACCCTGTAAGTGCTGAGCATTTGAGTACCAACACTACAAAGCTAAGAGGGAGTCTGTGAGTACTCTGGCAAGAGCTTTAGGGCCAATTTACTGCTTGGGTCCCTGTAGCAGAGCCAGAGAAATTGGGAAGCTGCCCAGAAACTTTCAAGCACTTGAATTTTTCAGATTGATTTCCTCCCTCCCCTACAAAATATATAAAGGACACAAAGCTTGCTGTCCCTCACATGGGAGTCTGGATTGTTTTTGTTAACATTACAGGGCTTCTCAAGATCTATGAATAGTGAGAAAAAATTGGAAAAAAATAAAGCATAGAGAGGAGTGTGGTGAGGAAACTTGCTGAGGTTTGTAGCATTACATTCAGATCCTGGGAAGATCAGTGTTGGACATGCTTGGAAAAGTCTGTAAAGGCAATTAAAAGGCAGGACAATGCAGAGGGACCTGCTGTCCTGGTCTGCAGGAGGAGGGAGGGAAAGATGAGGTACCACTGCAGAGAGGGGAGAGCAGAGAGAGAAAGCACCACTTTTCTCCTCTGGATGGACCATCTAAACCCAGGTGCCTCCAGAGGTGGAGGTGGTGCTGGGCATAACCTGGAAAAGCTGTCCCAGGACTCATCCTTGGCTGTTTGGGGAGCAGAGGAGATGGAGTCAGTGGAGACAAAGGGAGTTTCAGCCACAGTCTCGCTCTGTGATTTTCACCCTCAATTCCCACAACGCGACATCTGTTGGATACAGAAACATTTGTTTCCATTTCAAAATCCATGGATGGTGTCATGTGCTGATAAAAAGTTGCTGCCTGAGCTTTGTGGAGGTGGCCATGCCCGCGGGAAGTGATGATGGATCATCTGGAAACACGGGAATGGAGACAAACGTCTGCCTTTGGCATGGTGCAGTGAGCCTGAGGGGATCCAGCACCTTCCCTGCTGCCCTTCTGAGGTGGGCAAATGCTACCCCACACAGCCAGAATGGGTGATGGTAAAGCTGTTTAAACCGTGCTGGCAATGAATTGCTATTTCAGAGCAGTTTTGAGGTGTCACCGCCTCCTCGGGAGCTGTTGCAGGTTTGTGGTGAGTGGCTTCGCCCGTCCCACGGGCAGAGCCAGCTCCAGTATCACATATGGTATCATCTGATTTTAGATGAAGATGTGTGGTTCTTGTCCTCCTTTGTGCCTCAGCCACTCCGCAGAGGATGGCCTAGAAATAACAATTGTAAAAAACTGAATTTGTTTTGCTGTCTAGGAGAGAATACCCCAAAAAGAGCTTTTCTACACTACAGCGGAATAACTTGAAGGAACTAGACCAACCATTTATTCTGTTGAAGCATTCAGGAGTGTTTGATAGCTGTTCTGCAGTCAGGTTGTGTAATATAATGCAGAACAGGTACCCAAATGCTGCTGCCCAATGAACATCACATATTTCTCAGCAATGGTGATACCTGCCCATGGTACTGCTCATGTCCTACATGGAGAATGAGTGACTTTGAGCTCCACTGAAACCCTTCTGCTTGCTTCAGGCTGATGATACAGCATTCTCCTCCTCATTTTTCAGTTTGAGCAGTCAGTTTTGGCTTATAGACTTTGAGTTGGTTCCATGAGCATTTTATTCCCATGTCCTTTGGGATTATGTGCTAATGAAACACAGCACTGAGATGTTTGAGGGCTGTGTGCTATGTGCCTGGATCAGCTCTCCCATGCTGGGCTTGAGGACAGGATCATCTCTTTTTTGTTGTTTTCTGGGCTCCTGACTGACTTGATTTCCCCTCTCACTGATGGTCTCAGAGAACGTAAATTTTAGGCAATAAAGGAACAGCTAAGTAAGCCATACAGTCCTTCACTCATCACCTTGCACTGCCAACACACTTCACTCCCATCTTTCTGCTATTCCTTTTATTCCTTTGGATTTTGGCTTTCTCTAGCCTTTCCCTAAGCAGAGAGACAAGCCAGTGGGGGTTCTTATCACCACACCAGGTCACTGAGTCTGCTTCTACCTACACCAAAGCCTATCCCATTCCCTCCATGTAATGTTGCAGACACATCAAGCATGTGTCTGGAAAAAAATCCTGGGAAAGACAGTGGTTGTGAGGGGCTGCTCTTCCCCTTGCTCTATTCCTCAGGATCCACCTGTTGTTGAAAGATGTCCTAGAGCAGAAGAGCTGAAAAGAAAGAAGAGGAAAATGTTATAAATGGTTGTTAATTAAGCTGATGACACTCTCTGTTGCTGAACACCAGGACATGTGGTGGGGGTACACTACACTCACAGGTGAGCAGTGGGCAGCCTTCCCCATGTGCTGCAAAGTGAGCATCAAAGGAAAATGCTGAGGACGACTTTGTAATTCCAGTTTGGATATAAACTGGCTGCAACAAGTGCCAGAGAATGAGGTTGGTTGTTTGTAAGAACCGTGTGTCAGCGATGCCATGCACAGGGCTCTGACACTACAGGATGCTCTTTCACAAATCCAAGGCACAGTATTCCATGCTGGTATCCACGTGCTGGTCCTGCTCCTGCACAGGGATGTGGAGAAGGGACCACCACAGTCCCACCTCTTGTCCTCTCAGAAACACAAAACAAGATTGTCAAGGAATCTGTAAGGTGCCTTGGATAAATACTCCAAACTTTTCTTGTTTTCAAATCAGCCGTGGGTGGCTGATTTTATAAACAACTTTTTTCCTAAGCCTCCAACTTTTTGCTTTGGGTTAGAACTGATCTGAGTTCACCAGCTGTTGTCTGATCCTTAAGGCCCAGCAGTCTCTGACCCCTCCAGTATTTGAAGAAATTTCTCCCTGGAAATCCCACATACAGTAGGTCCCAACCCCAATGTCCCAGCTGAATTCCTGCAAAGACAGACCATAGAAACCAAATGCTTTGGAGGATTACATTTCTGCTTTGCTGTCATTGCTAAGTAAAATAGATAGGAAAAGCAGCAGAGATCCTCATAAAATCTTTAAAAATATGGGGATGAGTGGAAAGAGGCAGAGATGAGCAGCTCAGCAATGACAGGGTGGAAACCTGTCTGTAAAACTGTCAGAGCAATGCAAAATTTGGTTAAGAAGCATGGGAGACTCAAATAGAGGACAGAGGTGACACTTGTGGCCACAGTAGGATCACGTGAAGTGAAGGGAGAGAAAAGCAGCAAAATTTCCTAAACCAGGACATTGACCATCAGAATTGCTCCTGACTTGACCTTCAAATGGAGAAAGACATGTCACAAGCCAGGGCCATGCAGAACAATGTAGCCAAGCAAGAGGGAGAAGTCAGGCATACCAAAGTTACCAAGGTTATTGAATGGTGTATCCATCTGGCTGCATTCCAAGGGAAAGTTGTCCTTAACTTTGGATGTAGAGATAAAGATAACCAAGCCAAGCCTTGCTCTCTGATGGAAATATCAAAGAGGCCATTAAGAATTACTAACAGAGAGAAATTACTAAATATGGTTCCCAACATAGCTAATGAATCAATTCAAAGAGGCAGAACATCCATCAACCATTGCATGTTTTTGTTTACAGTCCCTGAAAGGGGTTTATGCAGGGGGTGAGGGGACTCCTGTCCTTCTTTAGCACTATCAAATGTTATTAAATTGTTTCTGTTGCACATGGTGAAGCTCAGAGAGATCCATTCCTACAGTAATGTGAAGCAGGGAGCCCTTGGGCCCAGGCTTTATTGCTGGTGTAACCCAAAACATCTCCCAAAGGCAAGGTCCAGTCTGGCTGTGGGTATTTGCCAGGCCGTGCTGGAGGGAGCGAGGAGCAGCACCCACAGGGAGCTCCACCAGGAGCATTTCTGCGTGGGGATGGGACTGGGAATCAGGCGCTGGTGGTTTGAGCACAGCAGTGCCTGAACACAGCCCCGTGGAGCAGGCACTTGGCAGCAGGGCAGTGGTGGGACCCAGGTGACCCTCCCTTTGTGCCCAGGTGGGTGCTGTACGAGGAGCCCAACTACCGAGGCCGCATGTACGTGGTGGAGCGCGGCGAGTTCAGCAACTTCAACGAGTGGCAGGCGCGCAGTGCCAGCGTCCAGTCCATCAGGAGAGTCGTCAACTACTTCTAGCTGAGCTTCCACCCCGCCAGCCATGGCCTGCTGAGACTGAGCATCACCCTCCTCCCTACTTGCTGACCCCTGGAATAAATTGGTAAACACCCCCTCTTGGCTCTAAGCACTTTTTTCCCCATAACTAACATGGGTTCAAGAGAGAAGAGGCTCATAATCTTTCTGAGCTTGATTTACGTGCTATGAATTTGCTTTATTATTCTGCAGTGGTTTATAAGGAGGATATGAGAGGATGAGCCAGAACTGGTGGGGTGACAAGCAGATCTAGGAACATGCCTGCCGTGGTGCTTGTGGTCTGACACATGTTCCCTCTGCCCTGACCGGGGCCACCATGTGATGGCCCCAGCTGACTCCTGATGCCTGGAGGGGGTCACGTTGATGCACACATGGGTGGGGAGTGCAGGCACAGCACCACTGGAGGCCATGTGAGACACACATGAGGATCATAGCAGGAGCTGAGCGACTTGTGGGGTCTGTCTGAGCATGACATGCTGGTCTTGATAAAAAGGTCAAAGCAACCATTCATCCTGAGTAACTAACTTTAGATCAGTACACATTAAAAATATATATTAAAAAAAACCCCAAGTCTGAAGGCACAAAACCTGAGCAACCTTCTCTTTGTTCCCTCAACCCTTCAGATAATAATGACATTTTGAGGGATCAGCAGCAAAAGCAAACTGCCACTGCACTGCCGTTTATTTCACAACCCTCTTCTCATCTTTCTTCCCCTGGTCCATCCCAGTTGTTTTGATGCCTCTGAACCCCATTCCATGGCTGGCAGTTGGGATGGGAACCACTCTGCCCCTTCAGGACCATCCACTGTAGCTTCGGTGCTTCCCCTGGCATGCAGCCCCCAATAGTGCAGTAGCTTCCCTTCTGTAAAATCATAGGCTGTATTCAGCATTAGCTAGGGTGTTTCTGGCTATTTCAGAAAAGGGTGATTTTATTGTCTTCACTCTGTTACTCTATTAGCTGTTAAGCCTTGGCTGTCTGATAGATCCTGACAGGCGCAGGCATGGTGCCGGCAGAGCTGCAAAGCTCTGTGTTAATCCAGTGAGAAGGCTGCTGATCTAACCCCAGCCCCAGCCCTCTGAAGGGACATGAGTGAGGCTGACAGGTCCCCAGCACACTGGAGCAGAGGCGTGTGTGCCTTCAGGGCTGCTGTGCTTTGCAGGTCTGCAATGGGAATCTGCCCTTCCCTGAGCGATGGGGAGGAGCAGGACTGTGCTCTCTGCCAGGGGCTGGTTGGTCCCGTGCTGCATCCCAGTCTGACACTGGATCCGCCTGCCATTCCACCAGCTCACACTCACCCACCTTGTCATTCATTTTCCACTTGAATCTTGGCTCCCTGTGGCTCCCTACCACTCCCAGCACTGGGGTGAGTGGTGACAGCTGGGCCTGTGTGAGGACATGAGCTGTTCCTGCTATGAAGCGACACCATTGTTAGAGTTGCATCGATTGAGATTTGCCCCAGCTGCACATATGCTGTCTATGTGTTATGAGGGGATATGGAAATGCAAAAATAATTCCACCTTGTGAATTTAACAGCAGTTTGGGTGATGTCTGCCTTAGCAGTGATACAGACAATCATGTCCTCTTGTAGACAGCCTGTTCATGGATGTTTCCTCCATGCAAATCATCACAGAAGCGCTTGTAGTTACACCAGCTCAGCTCTGGACTTCAGTGGCCATGTCCTGGGTGGCTTGTGGTGATGTGGTCCATTAGAGCTGTAAAAATATTTAAGATCTTTAATGGGTTGCAAGGTATTTCTGTGTCAGAGAAGGCAGGGAAATGATTCATTCATTGAGTGGGATGCACAAATGTACAACTCGTGCATCAACTTTTGCGTACTTCATTTTCTTTTAATTAGATGCAGCTTATGAAAGATTTTAGGAGTCCTTCCAGGATTAGCGTTGCTCTTGCCTCATGGAGACTGTAATCAGCTCCTGAGCAAAATGCACTCTATTAAAAGTTAATATTCAGTCATATGCAGTGCTCTCTGTTGTGACCTTCTGGACATTAATCTGTTAGGAAAACCCCAAAGTGGTCCCAGAGAAAGACAAGCATCGAATTGTGATGAGCTTTTCATTCATTTGAAACACGTTCAATGTCACGGTGCAGCATGAAGGATAAAGAAACAAAGGCTTTAAAATATACAATAACTGGAGCTCCAGATGCTCCAAGGACAAAAGAAAACAAAAGAAAATAGAGAACAACCACCCACCCCATTCCCCTGGTAGCAACAGCACAAGTCCGGACACCTCACATCTGGGTTTCTCAACAAATGGTGTGTACAGCCAGGGGAGGTGACTGTCCCACCGATGTTGGGGTCAGAGCTGTGATATCTATAATATATTACAATATCTGTAATGTCACAGATATTCTGCTGCATGGCTCCCAGTGGTTCAGCTCCCCTCCGTGCAGAGCAGCGTTAGAGGGACCCACTGGCATCCCTGTCTGTCCTCAGTGGAAGCGTGGGACTGTGCACGTACACACAGCTGTACGGGCTGACTCCAGCATCCAGCCACTGTGTGCAAGCCCACTTCATCTACACACTTCAAACTAATTATTTGTTTATATGCTCTAGTAGATTAATATTTGCTGCTTAAATTGTGGAAGTATACTTAGGATTCCAGCCCTGGACTGAGCCATGCCTTGTGCTGGGAGTTAAAAGTACAAAAAATGCAGCCTAGTTAATCTGTGCTGTTGTGTGGAACCCTGTTTGTAACCAGTGAGTGTTTAGCTACCTATAGCACATTTTACACAAGTCTGTAATATGCCTGCAGAGTAAACACTCATAATTTATTGACATCTGATATCCCATTTATGAGCACACTCTCAATGCAAAGAGCTGGTCCCATGCGAAGACTATTTAAAAAATTCCTCTGTGTGCACAAGCTTAATCTTGCTAAAAACTGGCAGCGGGGAATTGAATTCCATCTATTTTTTGCTTATTTGAAACCTAAGTAGGGTGGCCATGGGCCTAATCCAAACACTGATGCTGCAGGAACATGCATTGCGTTGGCAGTGGGGGGATGTGGCTCTCGTTCTTTTCCTTTTCCCTCCCCCTCCTTGCTAAATCTGCACTTGTTTAAAGGACAGAACGTACAGATCCCATATGCTTGCTAGTGGCTCGTTGGTGGTTTTTTCCCCTAAAAAAAATCCCAGAGATTATTGACATTGCTCTAGTATGAAATGGTATGATTTGTGAGTTTATAGCGTATAAAATATAAATGACAAAAATGCCAACTCGATGTGAAGTGGATGTGAGATTGTGCAGCAGAGGTTTGAGCTGCACATCATTAAACTGTATGGCTGAATGAGCTCTGCTACGTGAACCGAGGAGGCAAGCAATGGATTAAGGAAATTGGAAACTATTCCACAAAATGCCAAAGATGAAACAAAGATTCAAATGAACAAAAGGGACAAGTTATTAATTACAAGAGAGAGAACTACATGAAATCAGCTCCATCTGGAAAACCAGGAAAACCCTAATAATCAGCATTACTGTGCTTGGCTAAGCTGCTGCAGTGTAATATTGAGAATAACTTTGAATTACATCTGGCCCTAAAGCAAATAGCTCCTGCCAGAATGCCTGCACACACGAATGTCCTTTCTTTGTAGCTGGATAATGTGCAAATTTGATGGAATATCTCTTTCAAATGAATCCTTGGAAGATATCTGAGGAACTGCAGTGTTTTTGCCTTGCTATACTACTCGGTACACGTACATATCATGAAGGTAAGGAAGGAACTGCCTACTGATTCACATGTGTGATGCTGTTATGTTCAAATGAATCTCTCCTCACTGCTTACAGGAGAAAGGGCTGCACAGCCACCCCTCTCCCCTGGGGAATCCAAGAGGTGCTATCCTGCTATTGAGGCTGCCCCACGCTCACACCTTCCTGTGCTTTTTTCTCTCCTCCTCCAGAGACATCTCTCTGGGACCTGGTAGAAATGAATTCACTCCTTGGTGTCTGCTAGAGCTGTTTTATTACTTCTTTAAGTAGAAAGTCTGGCTCAACAGTGACCTCTTTGACTGAGTGCAGAAAGGAAATTAAGAGCTTCAAAAAGTTTCTCTGAAGTCTGGTATCAGTAGGAGAGCCCTGGTCACTGTTAGAGCCTAAGCAATGGCAGGGTAAAAATGTAGAGAGAACACAGGGACTGGGCTCTGGAAGAGGTTGCCCAGGGAGGTTGTGGAGCCTCCTTCCCTGAAGATATTCAAAAGCTCTTTGGACACAGTCCTGAATAATGTGCTCCAGAGGACCCTGCTTGAGCAGGAAAGTTGGACCAGATGACCTCCAGTGATTCCTTCCAGCCTCACCCATTCTGTGATTCTTTGATACTCAGCACCATTGACAGATTTTCTGGCTCCCATGCTCCATCTAGTTTGGTTTTCACTTTCTTTTCTTTACACATTTTCTTCAATGTTGTAAAGGAAAATTAACTTGGGTGAAAACATATTTGGCCTTGAAATTTTTACTATCCATGCTCTCAAACTCTTGTCTAGGAGTAAATCTGATAGCGTTAATAAGTCCTAAACCAGATAATATCTGCATAATGTGGTCAGCATCATCAAGATTGCAAATGGTGATTTGTTTGGGGTTTTAATTATAAATAATCTGGTTTATTGGAGAGGTTAAACTCAATTAAATCAACCTTCAGCAGCTAAGGCTCATGCAGCTTGGTGTCCTTTTTTTCTTCCAAGAGTCATCCTTCAGTTAGCAGAGGAGGTGCAATAACATCCCACACAATTTGAGATGTTCCCGTATTTACTGGTAGCTCTGACCAGTAAACGCACATGGAAAAGAGTGGAAAAGGACAGAAAAACCCCAAATATTAATTTTCCATGGAGCAATGGGAGCACTGAAGTAAGAGCAAATGGGTGTACCACATTTTCCATGGACACCTGACCATTTTTACATGATTCAGAATGAGACAGTTTGTAATCAAGTCAAGCTGTCCTGGTTTAAGCATGCCAACATATGGAGGAATGTACCA